TGGTGTACCTAATAAAGTGGCCGGTGAGTGTATTATATGTATATATATATATATATATATATGTGTGTGTGTGTGTGTAGCTTAAAATGTTGATTTATTTAATGCCTCTAACCTCATGAAAAGCTTCATCCTCATATTGAGGGCATTCATTTTATACCAGTTGTCTTTTTTCAGATAAATTTATAAGGTTCTATTAATCTAATATAGCTGGGAAATATTTAAATAAGCTCAAAGCTTGGGACTCAAGAGGATAAAACTGGTGGGGCACAGCCCCCCGTGGCCACCCCCACTTGTTGTGTCCCTGGTGACTGACAGGTGATGTTCCACAGTGAAATGATGAGCTGGAGCACTGCACATCTCTGTTAGATCTAGCTGGAAGACTTTTCAAATTCGTCTTCTGAGGTAAACATCTGATTTGTTGTCAGGCTGAGCTTTATGGGAGAAGTTTTCTGTTTGAAGCTGCTCGGCCCTGTTAGAGCTGCTGCACTGTGCATCTCTCTGCTGGGTGCCAGAGACAAGAGATTTAATTTATGCAGCACTAATAGGGACAAGGCATTTCTTATTTTGTGAATTTTTAGTTTTTAATAAGCGCCGCTGTTTGTTTTAGCAGCCCGCCTAGGGTTATTGGGACTAATTTTTCTGATCTCCGCTCTTCGTCAGCTCAGGTGGTGCCCTGCAGCGCAAATCAGCTGTGTGGTATGATCGGCCTGACCCGTGTTGAGGAGAGGTAGAGAAGTTATTTGATACGACATAGTTTAGAGCACAATGAATCCAGAAAAACATCAGAGCCCCAGAACCTGTCGCTCCTTGATGTCGCTCTCGCCCTGCGCAGATGAATCAGGCGTCAGACTGGTGGTTCACAACAGGTTCACTCCAGCCTGTGGACCGGTTCATGGACTGAATCATCGGCCCTCTGACCTGTGTCTGGGCCGGTGGTGCAGCTCGTCGCCCGGTGGTTCAGGGGTTGAAGTGAACCACCTCGCGCAGACGACGGGCGGGGGACCGGTGGTTCACGTGGGCCGGTACCAGGTTCGGCTCAGTTGCGTGCGTGTCTTCTCAGTTATTCCCGTAACGTGCAGATGATTGTATTTGTTTTTGTACAGCATGCAACATTGATTGATGCAACATTGATTGTAGCAACACGTTCCTGAAGTTCTTTGCAGGGATGGGGGAGCTCACAACTTCTACTTCCTGTTTCCTGCTGACATGAAGTCTGGTTGATTTGCTCAAATTAAAAGAAAAATTCCTGTATCCGCACCGTGATCCGGAACCTCGCCAAAATTCAAAAGTGTGTTTCTTTGGCCAATGCTCACATGTGGTAAAAATGCCATGACAATCCGTCCACAGGTTCTTGAGTAATTTTGTCCACAGACAGAACGACAAACATTCGTGACCAAAAACATTACCTCTCGTCCCCTGGCAGAGGTAATAAGATGTTTAATATATGATGGAGCTTGGTTKTTAAGAGCTTTGTATGTTAGGAGTAATATTTTAAATTCTATTCTGAATTTGACAGGGAGCCAGTGGAGAGAAGCTAAAATTGGAGAAATATGATCTCTCCTGCCAACTCTCATTAAAACTCTAGCAGCAGCATTTTGGATTAACTGAAGACTTTTTAAAGAGTTTTTTTGGATGTCCAGATAATAAAGAATTACAGTAGTCCAGTCTAGACGTGATAAATGCATGAATCAGTTTTACTGCATCATTTTTGGACAAAATGTTTCTAATTTTAGTGATATTACGCAGGTGGAAGAAGGCGGTCCTGGTAACATTTTTAATGTGGGGGTTAAAAGACATATCCTGATCAAAAATAACACCAAGTTTCTTTACATTAGAACTGGAGGCCAGATTAATGCCATCCAGAGGAAGTGAAAGGCTACAAAGTTGATCCCTAAGATGTTCAGGTCCAAAAACCATAACCTCTGTCTTATCTGAGTTTAGAAGCAGAAAGTTAAGAGTCATCCATGTTTTTATGTCTGTTAGACATGATTGTAGCTTAAGTAACTGGTTGGATTCATCAGGTTTCATGGATAAATATAACTGAGTATCATCAGTGTATCAACGGAAATTTATCCCATGCTGTTTAATAACTTTACCTAATGGAAGCATATATAAAGTAAAGAGGATTGGTCCAAGCACTGAACCCTGAGGAACTCCACAACTAATTCTGGTGTAAGAAGAAGATTCATTATTGACATTAACAAACTGAAATCTATGGCTTAAATAAGACTCAAACCATTTCAGAGCTGTTTGTGTATCCCAATATCAAGTTCAAGTCTACATGATAAAATATTGTGATCAGTTGTATCACATGCAGCACTGAGATCTATCAGGACAAGAATGGACACAAGTCCACCATCTGAGGCCATGAGAATATCATTAGTAACTTTAACCAGTGCTGTTTCTGTGCTATGATGAGCTCTAAACCCTGACTGAAACTCCTCATATAGATTATTTCTATCCAGATGTTCACATAGTAGATTTGCAACTATTTCTCAATAATTTTTGAGATGAATGGGAGATTAGATATAGGTCTGTAGATGGCCAGGACTCCTGAATCAAGATCGGGTTTCTTAAGTAAAGGTTTAATTACAGCAACCTTAAAGCTCTGTGGCACATAACCATTCATTAGAGACAAATTAAGCAGATTTAAAATATGGATATTGATTAAGGGAAATGCTTCTTTGAACAGTCTGGACAATCATGAAATTCATTTTATTTCTAAGTGAATCCCCTCTCTGTGTTTTTCTCAGTTATGAGTTTAAGGTGAAGCCAAAGAATGAGCTGGGAGAAGGTCCTCCAAGTGAACCAGTCTCCTTCAACACAGAGTCTGGTATGATTCCTACTCTTCAAACCACCCTCCTGTCATCATCAGCAACCAAACCTAAACAGCTTCTGTCAAACTGAACCACCACTAAACCACTCTGTGGCTTTTAGACATTTAGAAAATTATTTAAAGACCGTAAACTTTCCAGCTCTGTCTCGGCCCTCTGTTAGCCTTTGGGGCAATTGCTGCTTCAGACAATGAGCATAAAAATCAACTTACAGGGATCTGAATCTGCTTTCACATAAATAACCAGAAAAAAACATTAAGTTTTAGGGTTAACCTGAGAAGGAAAACATACAGTTCACTGCCTGAAGCCAGCCAAGCACACAGTCCATCAACCATAGACAGGTTTAATGGTTCCAGCACATTATACAGTCTCCTCCAAAAGTATTGGAACAGCAAGTCAAATTCCCTTGTTTTTGTTGTACATTGAAGACATTTGGGTTTAAGATCAAAAGATGAGCATGAGACAAGAGTCAGAATGTCAGCTTTATTTTCTGGTGTTCACATGTAGATGTGTTAAACAACTTAAGATTTATCACCATTTGTAATGCACCACAGCATTTTCAGATGTGCTAAAGGAACAAACTCTTAAAGTAACTAACATTTAATATTTGATGATATAACCCTTGTTTGCAATGACTGCCTGAAGCCTGTGACCCATCGACACCAAACCTATTCTTCATTTGTAACACTGTTCCAGGCTTTGAGCCCAACTTCTTTCAGTTCTTGTTTGTTTCAGGAGGTTTTCTCCCTTCAGTCTCCTCCTCAGGAGGTGAAAGACTCTATTGGGTTAAGGTCAGGTGATTGACTTGGCCAATCTAAAACTTTCCACTTTTATCTCCTGATGGAGTCCTTTGTTTTGTTGGTGGTGTGCTTTGGGTTATTTTCCTGCTGCATGATAAAATATCTACCAGCTAGTTTGGATACGTTTCTCTGTAATTTGGCAGATAAAATGTTTCTGTACGCTTCAGAATTCATTCTGCTGCTGCCATCATCGTTTACATCTGCCATAAATATTAATGAATCTGTTCTAGAAGCAGCCATGACATATGCACCATGCTTCACAGATGAGCTTGTGTGTTTCAGATCATCAAATGTTTCTTTCTTTTTCTTTCTTTCTCTTTCTTTCTTTCTTTCTTTCTTTCTTTCTTTCTTTCTTTCTTTCTTTCTTTCTTTCTTTCTTTCTTTCTTTCTTTCTTTCTTTCTTTCTTTCTTTC